AGATTTTGTACCCATGGGATGTTTTAAATCTTGTACACAATGGCTGAATGCAATCTTTTTTTTATCTCAAAGTCTGAAAAATTGATACTCTCAAGCTAAGCTAGCTACATACATAAGAGATTGATTGCATGAATGCAATCTTTACCCCAAAAATTGATTTTAGACCAAACAGCTTTACTGTGGATTATAATATTTTACCTCACAGAAAAACTCATTTCCTCTCAATCCACAAAACCAAGAAATCCATGATACTTCTTCTGAGCTACTCATCTTCTACCCTAAAAATATGCACATGCAAATGGTATCATTGTAGTACAAAGAAAACATTTTCTGGATGTACATGTATGTACATGTAGGTCATTTGGCAAAAAAAAGTTTTTGAACGTGCTGAAGTTTATTCCAGGCACTTTTGCCGAGCACATAGCAGTAACATTCTTTTTTATGTCCATTTTGTCTGACTTAGAAATTTCCAAAACTCAAAAAAATAAGGCAATAAATTAAGGTTTTAATTACATTTATTTTATTACTAAAAACAATTGTAGTGACTACAACTAATACAGTAAGTTAAGTTAATACAGTGGCAGATTCAAGTGGGGTGTATATCATTATGTCATATATATAAGTACATTGTTTTTTGACTGATGACTTCAGTTATGCAGGGTTCTCACTAGGAATTTTTCTTGGTGAGTCCTGGGACTCATCACTTCTAGAAATGGTGAGTCCCAATAGATTTTGATGAGTCCAGGATGCATGTAATTTTTTGTGTCTTAATATGATGAAATATGCTGTACATGTTTGTTAATCTTTTATGTCCAATATTTTCCCTATCTTAGTATCTAACTGTGTTCCCCAAGTCCTACATGTATACGACACATGGATCTTACAGCTTTTGCAGAATATTTTCTTCTTGAATGCAGTGCTAATATTGGCAGCAGTACTTAACCTGTTTAGACATCATCCTGCAATGTGTTCATTTTCACATTCACATGTACGCAATAATTTCTAAATTTACAGCAAGTTACACCAATAAATGTGAAAAATTGTATTCTAACTATAGAACAATTACAGAACAAAAAAAGAATATGATTTTTTTATCCTTTGAAAAAGACTGTCAATATTTACCTGTATAAAATGTACATAAATAGCAATGATACTGTGAAACACAATATGACTCAACCAATCAGTGTAAAAATAAGCTAAATAAATGTGGATAGTGTCCACATGTGGACACAGATGATGCCCCCGCTTGCATATCATACAGTTATAAAGGGACATAACTGAAGAACAGTAAAAGTGACGCTACCCAAATTTGAACTTGATCTGAGTTTTGTGTGTAAGTCTCATAACATTTGGTTGAGGTTAACTTAAGTAGAGAACAGAAACTAAAAATTCAGCAATTTTTCTATTTATAAAGGGGCATAACTCAATAATGGTTAAAGTGACACTACCCAAATTCAACTTGATCTGTGTTTTATCAGTGGAAGTCAAAATTAAACATTGCATTGAAAAAGCATTGATTGTAGTTGATTCAACTACAATCATGGACAAAGGAAGATAACTCCAATTTTAAAAATAACTTGATATTTAGAAGAAAATAAAAATTTTGCAATTTTTTCCATTTATAAAGGGGCATAACTCTAGAACGGTTAAAGTGACGCCACCAAAATTCAAATTTGATCTGTGTTTTGTGGTAATAAGCATTGTGCATAAGTTTCATAACATTTGGTTGAGGCAAACTTAAGTTAGAGGACAGAAACTAAAAATTTTGCAATTTTTCCATTTATAAAGGGGCATAACTCTAGAACAGTTAAAGTGAAGCCACCAAAATTCAAACTTGATCTGTGTTTTGTGGTAATAAGCCTTGTGTATAAGTTTCATAACATTTGGTTGAGGCAAACTTAAGTTAGAGAACGGAAACTAAAAATTTTGCAATCTTTCCATTTATAAAGGGGCATAACTCTAGAACGGTTAAAGTGACGCCACCAAAATTCAAACTTGATCTGTGTTTTGTGGTAATAAGCATTGTGTATAAGTTTCATAACATTTGGTTGAGGCAAACTCAAGTTAGAGAACGGAAACCAATTTTGGGACGTACATATGTACGTACAGACGGACAAGGGTAAAACTTAATGCCCCCACCGCTCATAGACATAATGCGTGCTAGTATTACCCATTTCTGGGATTATTGTCCAGTCCAGGAAAACACTGTTTTTCTAAGTTGGATTTCCAGCCCAGGTACACAATGTATTACTTTGCCAACCCTGATCAATATTACAGCAAGTTATGCAAATACTGATTGACTTGAGTTTATCCTTTACCTGAATTGACTATATCATACATTTATCATAATGTGAAATTGTGTAAATTGTCAAATAGAGGTTTTTCTTGGATCCTTTTTTTCATTGTTTTGGAGTTCAAGTTGAGGGAAATCATTGATTGCAAAAATAAAATATCAAATTATCTCATTGGTCAATAATTAAATCTATTTTAACAGGTCCAATGAACACTATTTATAAACATGATAACTTTGAAATAAACAACTACAAATATTTTTTACAGATATTTGATAATTTTTTTCTTCTTATAGTTTCTCTCTACATGTACATCTACTTAGTATTTTAGTGTTCTTTGGATTAAATAATGGTTTATTACAAAAGAACATAGAGTCTATGTACAGATTTGGATTACTGATACCTGAAACAATACTTTTTTTTAGTCTGTAATCAACCTTTTACAAAGAGAAATGGATTACAAATGACTTATTCAGTTGTAATAATATGGGAACGAAGTCCATAATAACAGTTGAAAATTAAATAAAAACAAAAATCGATAGAAAAACCAATATACTAATGAATCCAAAATATTTAACTTTTTATTTCAGTTTCCCGCATCTGCGCAGAAATAATTTTCCTGTATTATTTCTCTCTTCTGGTATTGTTTGTCTCTGGAATTTGCTTAAAATATGGAAAGGAGCATCAAATGGTTTCCAGCAAATTGTTTTTTCTGATTATCAAAAGAATATTGGCTGCTTAACAATGAAAATAAAATCATTTTAAAATCAGTCTAGTCATGCTAGTGCTTATTCAACATTTGATTTTATAGCAAACAAAATGAGCATCTGGGGAAACACACCTGATCAATCAGACAGAGTTTTGTATTGGACAAGGAATCTGACACACAAAGATTAATTGATAATAAGCCAACTTTGACTCCAATGGCTTTAAGGTACAAAAGTATAAATTGTTACCTGAAGATAGTGTTTCTATGTTTACATTGAAAATGACATCATAATTAAAATACATGTACCTATCAAGAAGACCAACATCGGAAATGTTTCCATGTTTCCATTACTTTTTCATTTGTTTTTCAACAGAAATTCAAAATATACTGAGAATTCATTTTTTAGCAATTTGGTTAAGGGTTCTTTATTTTTAATTATTGTTCAGACCTTGTTGAAGCCAATGATGTGGGGTATGTCAAAAGTAGAGGATTTTTCTTAATTGATAGTGATTTTTTGTAATTTAGAATGTCATAAATTGTAAAATTCAATTCTTTAAACATTGTAATTGCCTTAGAATATTTTACTGTAGTTTAAACTTTGCAAAAATTGGTATTAACATAATAGTTTGTACGGACTTCATCCTTTTCTCGCATGATACACCTGCCTCATATTTAACTAAACATGATTACATCACTAACACTTGAAAAATTTTGAGATATTTCTGCTTTTGGGTGTTTGACTGGGGGACTTTTCCCTGTACATGTGTCATCTGTTTGTTTAAAGACAACTGGTACCATAGAACTTATCGCTATTTGGGAATCTGCGACACTTGACCCGAGATTTTGTGACACTTGAACTTTTGACTTTAAGCAACAATAATTACATTAGATGTATGTTTCATTATAATATGTTATTCTGATTGGCTAACTGCAATCTCGCGTTATTCCTTAATCAACTTCATTACACAATGAAATTTTTCATTCATGACACGAGGTCCCACAATAAAGTGCACAGGTAAATTAAATAAAAACTTGATAAAAATAGTGTTGTCATGATCCGCTTCTGCGCTTCATACAAAATGTACTTCGGTCAACGCTTTTACACCCCAATGAAGTTACAAAAAGAAGCATTCAATTCTTAAATAAATTTTGCTTTGTGGCGTCAGACATTTTCCATTGTGACCGTGAAAATTTTACAGGAACCTTTGTGATGTCCAGTAATGGCGGACAAATAGCGTTAAGGTTTATTTTAACATGGTTTTTCTATTTTGTGAAATTGTGTGTTGACTGTTGTATCGCTGGTATATACTATAAATTATGAATCTCTGGTTAATCATTATTATCAGAGTCAAAAGAAATATAATGAAACCCCTACTCTAGATGAAGAAATAACCAATAACAGATGCCAAAATACATATATCACATGCGAATAAGAGCAAGACAAAAATTTATGGACCATGGCATGGTACATGAACTGTTTTCGTAAACTTATGACAGTGAAATGATAAAAATTGAAGTAGAAAACGAAAATTGGTTATTTCGTTCACTTTACGTTCTATGGGTTTACTTTGAATCCTATTACAGTGCTTGCTGTTTACCAAAATTAGGACAGTCGTAATATTATGTTCCGACCGAGCCTCTTGACACTTTTCCAACTTCCGGTAATGGGAATAGTCTGCATAGAATTAATACATAAGTTCAAAAAATATGTATAAAATACTTATAATACCTGATAAAAAAATGAAATATTACTGGTCAAACGACTTAATCTATACGTTGATCATTCTTAAGGACTAATAAAATATGTAAAATATTAAATTGTCTGCATGTAATACATCCAAAGAACCGAAAATGTGGCAAAAAATGAAATATCCATATCTGTACTTATAATATTTATATCGACGCTGAACGCATTTAATCCAAAATGAAGAAAAAAATTAAAAACAACTGGTTGACTTGTATCATTTGTATAAATGTAGGCAGATAAAATATCTGTATTTGATCTTTTTTTCGGTATTTAACATCATCTGCTGTAATTAAAATGGCGGGAAGCATGGAAAACAAAGAAGACTACCAAACATAAGTAAACGTCCCGTACCATTAAAACAACAAACTTGCACAGCTGTATCTGTTTATTTGTATCTTCAACAATTTTGGTAATCATAAGATACTACTGTGACTTCTATTTCGAAACACACCAACGAATACTAACAACTTTTAATAATAATAGATGGCTTTCGATGTCCATACACCTTATCGCTATTTGTCCGCCATTACTGGACATCACACAGGTTCCCGTAAAATTTTGACGTCACAATACAAAATATCTGACGCCACAATGGAAAAGTGATTGTTGTATGACGTCAATAGTTCAAGCGGGACAGATTCTCGGGTCAGCCGGGAATAGCGATAAGGTGTATTGGCATTGTCAAATAATTTTTCTTTCAACAGGTTCGGGACAAGTTAGGAAACAGGAATACCCCACGTTTTCTGATGTTAAAAAACCCAGTTTACAGGGACTTCCTTTTTCTATTTCAATTTAATTTTAAAGCATGAAAATTGAAATCTACAAAAGCGCACATTTTAACTGCATCAGTAGCAAGGCTTCCAAAACGGTCATATATTCCGGACATTTGTATAATGTCCGGTAAAAGTCTGGCTGGGCAAAGCATGAAACGGTCATCTACTTTTTAGTTTTCAAGGTTTTCTTAAGAGACGGTCATTTTAACATAATTCCAGTGTTCTCCCCAGGCCGATATGACGCTGCGGCACCGCAGCGCCTTCACAATATTTTTGTAGATCCCGCAGCGTCTTAATTAGCCGCTGTCCCTTTATACATGATCCCGCAGCGTGTTAATTTTCACATTTTCATTATAAATGTTGGTAAAAATTGTCAAGTTACTGATCACCGCTGATGGGTCGGTCAGTGTTACGCAATAACTGATAATTAGTTTTACCTGAGCCACGCTTATCTCAGCCTTATCGGGCTATGTTATCAGGTAATAGCGTAAATGATCATCAAGAAGATAGATATTTTTTGAAGAAAATTAAAAATTTTAAAAACTTCAATGCAGAAATTGAAGAAATAGATTGCAAATACATTGTATTTACGTATCGTGTGTGTGATCACTTGACCATTTATATAACGAATTTTTTCATTGGTCGAGAAGAAGAATCTATTTAAACACGACCAATGAAAGTGTTGAATACACATGATAAATTTGAATACACATTGCTAAAGATATTTCCGATGATGAAAACTATGAATGAAAGTATTAGTAGTTGAAAAAATTAAAATAAAGTTTGATTAAAGATAACGAGGAGTGATTTACTTTAATAGAAAGTGAAAAAATGTTGCTTGCAAGGTAAATTCCTCTGAAACTGTCATATTTTTAGAAATAAAATGATCATTGAACATCGATCGTGAATCCGTGCGTCGGGAAATATGTGACAATCAACGCAGCTTCTGTAGTGTAATGTAACTTTAACGAATTTGTAAAGTTTAGGTTATATCTATCTGCCAAAGATAGGATTAAACAATAATACGCACGGAAGCGTAATGTGAAACTACGGAAACTGGTCAGCTGTTCATTTATAAAAAAAATTTGTTTTAAAAAGTTGTATACCAAATATCTTAACCATATTCGATTTCATTAATTCTGAATGAACATGTTCTCTGCAAATAACAAAGGGGTGAATTATAAGCAAAAGGTAGATGATGGAAGTAGAAGTTTTTTTCAGACCAATGACTTCTAATGAAAAGGGGAATACACCTCCGTCTACACTGTCAGTATAAGCAGATTTCATTGCTTCTCCCAACCAAGCTCGAGTTTTAGCAATTGATAAAAGCAAGCACCATGTTTCTGGTTTCAATGACAAGTGGCTGACTGAGTTTTCATGGCTTAGAAATGTTAAAGGGGGTATAAGAAAAAGTTATTGTGAGTGGGGGTTTAATTTTTAACCCTGAAGAGGATAAAGACAAAGTTGAGGAACAGACTGTCCAACAAAATAACACTATCTTGAAACAATATCCCTAGAAGGAGCAGAGAGTAGAGATGAATATTTATATTTTGACTTCTTTAATTGACTGAATATAAATAACTTTTGTGTTTAAAATCAATTTATTTCATATATATATTCTTGTAATTCATTAATACTCTGCATTGTTAAACACATAACACAAAGCATTATAATTCATATTGCATGTCATGATTTATGACTTATTGCTGCAGATCACAAACGTTCACTCTAAAAAAAGAGTTACGCGCCCTTGAATTTTGCGCCTTAAAAAAATCCTGGGGAGAACACTGAATTCGCGATCTTTTTGACCCAACCTTTGCCTTTAACAGCCACACATTTCCGGTCATAAAAGTGTCATGATCATTAAGTATCCCGCAATGGTGGTAAGTCGTGCACTTAAGGCCATTTTTTATTTTATTTTTCTGTAGACTTAGTTTTGTTTTTTTATTACTGTGTATTGTCAAGCTTGGTTACTCATAATTGTTTCTCAGTCACTGAATGTACGATGTTGTTCCATACGGGAGCAGCTGACCCGGTTTGTTTACATTCAAATTATAATGGCTTCAAAACCACGTGACATATTGAATCGTTATATCCAATCAAATTGCTCTACTGTCAATTAGGTGATTTTTTAGTACAAGGCAATTATATTATTTGTTTGTATGATATTGCTTTGAAATAGTTTGCAATAAATTGGGGGATTATTCAATAGGAAAACTCATTATTAGCCATGAAATTTGACATCAATGGAATTTTATATGAATATTTACTTATGGTCAGAATATCGATCTCTTTATATTAAACCAAATTTTTTTTTTATGAAAAATATATGTATATTGTTTTTTCTTAACCTACTCTATATTCCTGAACAAAAACATGGCATGATTATCGTTTGTTTCCCAAAGTTTTTCTTTCAATTTGGATGTTTTTTTTCGCGGGAAAATCGCAGAAGACGTAAGGTGCTTGCCATTTTGAAATTCTTAAAAATACGATTTGCTTGGCCTGTTTGGTCTGCCATTAAGATTGATGACGCTCAATGGAATGTAAACAAAGCAATGGAGGCCGGAAGAGGGGTTTTCTTAAGTTCTGAAATGCTTTTAGGCATTCGGAAGTCAGGTTTGAAATGGCCATTAGAAAATCTGCATTTTTGTACAATACTTAAGAATAATAATGTAAACATATCTTTAGAAATATCATTTTATTTAGAAGTGTAGAAAAAATGTATTCTGCACTAATTTAGCGTAGTTACGTCAATGCGGAGTTTTCCCGTATGATAAGTACAATAACAAAATCCGAACGAACCAACGTTATGACCGATTATAGACTACGGTAGGATACTATTAAAACAACCCCTACTTTAATACCTTCTCATTTTAATCAAGGCTAATTAGTTGTCGGACAGCTGAAGTTTACCTGTTGAGGTGACAGGTAAACTATTTTGAACCGGACATTGATCGGTCTATTCAAAGTTATTTCTTACATTTCAGCGGTTTGCATCTAATTAATTTAGATCAAAAAGATTTAAATTATCAGAAATACGTTTACAAATATGATTTGATGAAAAAATTAAAAAGGTGAAAATGAAAAATCGTCATAACCACGTTGTTTGAACCAGAGACATGTCTCTGTTTGAACTAGTACACGTGTGCGCATGTGCGCAGGTGTGAAATTTAATTTCTTTAAAATCTAATTTCTTAAAAAATGCTTAAATTGTCATTGATACCTTTATCTCACGTCTATTTCGAATATTTTCTTGAAGAAATAACGTAGAAAGAGCTTCTTACAGTCATTCATGCTTTGCAAACGTACACAGAATTTACGTATCTGTCTCTGGTCCATGTTTTACCATTGTCAAGATAACATCCGGTTTAAAAACGAAAGTAAAGTTTTTGACAACGTTATTTTGCACAAATAAAGAGTCTAAGGCAGATATAAGTACGCTGATATTGCACACTTCGAATGATGCACTGCTAATTTAACAGTTTACGTCAGAACTTCGAATTTGAATCAAAGAAAGTTTAATATTGTTTTTTTTTTAATGTCAATCATTGGGATGGCCAACTCGGCAACTGATTACCATAATTACCTTTTGTTTATTTAGTCTTAAGGGATTCAAATCGGGATAATATATAAAATGTCCGGCTGGCTAAAAATAATTTTGGAAGCCCTGATCAGTAGTATTTGTAAATACTTAAAGTATTTCATCAGGAACAACAAAACATGAATAAGTGAAGCCTTGTTTTTTCTAAAACTCAAAAACATACAAATCTTTTGTTTAGGAGTCAATTGACCAAGTTGCATGCTCCAGGTGTAACTGACCATAACTAAATTATATTCACTTCTATTGCAGGTATCAACATTTCCGCTCGTCCAATCGTCCGAGGCGACTAAAATTTGCTGGGGACTACTGTGTTGGCAATTGTCAATAGTCCGATGGACTACTAAAATTTATATGCCTGATAATGATGTTTTGTCTAAAATCTTATTGAAATCACTGTTTGGTCTGTCACTTCCGTGTGCCGACGTGTATTTTTGAAATATCAAAAATAAATAGTGGAAAATCGATTTCCCCCAAGTATTCTAAATTTAGACTCGCGTTTTGATTGGACAATGGGTATTTAGTTTAACCGCTATAACTTTTGACAAGGGATGACGACGGATGGGATTAAATATTAATGATCGCAATAATTTCAATATACACTTGAAAAATGTAAAAATTCACAGCCCCAAATTAAGACAAACCAAGATTTTATCAATTATTATGATTGACTGCAAATTGAAGAAATCTTTTGAAAATTCTCAAGGGTAGTTGTTAAATTTCTCACGCTTGATTTCTGGTGTTTAGTCATTCCCACACAAATGTAAACTTCATACGAGAGACCTGATGGAGCGAATCTTCACAAATTATAGAGGCCCCCCCCCCCCCCCCAGCCAAAAAAACAAAATAGACTAGGAAATCCGACAAAACAAACAAGAATATGATCAAAATGTTCGAGTCCGGGTGTTCAAGCCAAATTGGCTAAAAATTTTCGACTGGCTAGAGTATCACGTAACGAACAAGATGGGTAAAATGTACTGCAAAATCTGCAGAAGGTACGACACCATCGGTAGTTTTGTCGTTGGCAGTCAGACATTT